CCAGTTGTTGGTACCTAAAAGCCGCCGGAAAATCTTTTTCCAGGCGGCTCATTATAACCCAATGGCTGGCCACATGGGGTATGACAAAACACTAAACCGGATAATGGCCCGATTTTATTGGCCAGGCATTCGGGCAGACGTGCACCGCTGGTGTGCGGTCTGCCCTGAATGCCAACTGGTTAATCCAGCGGCCATCCCGGGGGCGCCTCTACGGCCCCTACCTCTGATGGAGGTCCCGTTTGAACGGGTCGGGATGGACCTGATCGGGCCATTCCACCGGAGCGCACGCGGATATCGGTTTGTGTTAGATCTGGTGGATTACGCAACCCGATATCCGGAGGCAGTGCCGCTGCGCACCATCTCTGCAAAGAGTGTGGCGCAGGCACTGTTTCAGGTCATCTCCCGAGTCGGGATCCTGAAAGAGATCCTGACTGACCAAGGCACTCAATTTATGTCACGGACACTGAGAGAGCTTTACGGATTGTTGGACATCAAGTCGATTCGGACCAGTGTGTACCACCCTCAAACTGACGGCCTCGTGGAGTGCCTGAATAAGACTTTGAAGTCCATGATCCGTAAGTTTGTGCACGAAGATAACCATAATTGGGACAAATGGCTGAACCCTATGTTGTTTGCAGTGCGGGAAGTACCCCAGGCCTCCATGGGATTTTCTCCCTTTGAGCTATTGTTTGGCAGGAAACCACGTGGGGTGTTGGACCTGGTTAAAGAAAGCTGGGAGGAACGTCCAAGCCCCAGTAAAAACTAATTTCAGTACGTCCTGGACCTGAGAGCAAAACTCCACACACTTGGGCGGTTATCACAAGAGAATTTGCTCCAGGCCCAGGAACGTCAACAGCGGCTGTACAACAGAGGATCCAGGTTAACCGGGAGATAAAGTCCTTGTATTGCTCCCAACGTCCAGCTCTAAATTACTCACCAAGTGGCAAGGGCCCTTTGTGGTCACACGACGAGTAGGTGACGTTGACTATGAGCTTAAGCGATCTGACAGGGGAGGGGCTACACAGATTTATCACCTCAACCTCCTTAAAGCTTGGAGAGGGGCAGAGTCTGTTTCACTGGTGACGGCAAGTGCGGAGAGAGATGAGTTGGGGCCTGAGGTACCAAAGTCGGCCAATCCTGCCTCGCTCCATTGTGAGAACCATCTCTCGTCATCCGAGAAAACAGACATAGCCAGGTTGCAACAGCGCTATGCTGATGTGTTCTCCCCCCTGCTAGGACGCACAAGCCTTATTCAACATAAGGTTGAGACTCACCCAGGCGTGTCAGTACGTTCACGGCCCTATCGGTTGCCTGAGCACAAAAGAAAAGTGGTCCAGGCTGAATTGGAAACAATGTTGGAGTTGGGGGTAATAGAAGAGTCCAACAGTGCCTGGTGCAGCCCCATCGTTCTTGTGGGTAAGAAGGATGGGTCCATCCGGTTCTGTGTGGACTATCGCAAGGTGAACGACCTGTCATGGTTTGATGCCTACCCTATGCCCCGGGTCGACGAACTCCTGGATCGCCTGGGCACGGCTCGATTTTTCACGATGCTGGATTTGACCAAGGGCTACTGGCAGATTCCCCTATCGCCAGAGTCAAAGGAAAACACGGCCTTCTCCACTCCGTACGGGTTGTACCAATTCGTCACACTTCCGTTCGGGTTGTTCGGGGCCCCAGCCACGTTTCAGCGCCTCATCGACCGGGTGCTGCGGCCGCATGCTGCATATGCTGCCGCCTACCTGGATGATGTGATCATCCACAGCAACACCTGGGTGGAGCATATGCGGCAGGTGGCTGCGGTGCTGGACGGCTCCCCGGCCTAAGTCAGGCAGTGGAGGTATGTGGAGGGGGCGTGGCGCTCAGCTGCAGGGGGGAGGTGTGGAAGAGGCTCAGGTGAGCAGTGCCAGGGGAGGTGATGAAGCACAGCTGGAACCAGTTGGCTAATCACTCTCCCCTCTGTAAAAGAGTAGCGTGCTGGACCTGGGGAGAACTGGTTTTGAGGAGAGCTGGAGCAGGAAACAAGCGACCAGCCAGGAACACAACGGGCAACACGCGTGGAACCAGAAAGAGCCCTAGCCGGGCGTGCGTGAGTGTGTGCGTGTGTGAGAGTGTGTGTGCGGGTGCCACACACATGCTCAAATAAAACCGGTTGAACCAACGGATATTGGTCTCTGAAAGACTCTGTCGGGGCACCCACAGTGGCACGACTGCTACAGAGGCGTAAGAGATAGATTAGCCACCTTGTTAAGCTTCTGGGATCAAGTATTTATATCAGGTGAAGCATGCGTTGTCATCAAATCAAGCAGTTGTCCATAAAGAGACCTACCTGACCTTCGATTGGATAAATGTTAGGAAAGGTGGTCAGCACTCCCTCAAATGTCTTTTTTTAAATAACTGATCTCCCTTCTTCAGGGTCAGAAATGTTTAGAAAATACATCCCACCTAACATTAGGCAAGGCACACCTCTTTTTAAACTAAAAACATAGCATTTTGTGATACTGCAGTAGTTTGTCCCATTTACATACAGAACATCTGGATAGATGTTTCCCTCCTTCTCCTAATTTCTAGGCAGCTTCTGGTGAAAACCTTGAAAACTTTAACTGCCAAGTAAAAAACAGAGACCCAAAGGCTGCAGAAATCTGGCACTTTTGTTGTGATAGATCGGCAAACATATATAGGTTGCCGGTGTTTATCCTGTTCATCAGCGAGTACGTTTTTTTTCTCCTGCTGCTACCGACTAAAGGTCACACTCCTTCGCTTAATGTTATGAATGATCAATATTATAATAGGCTTAAGAGAGAGGTTGTCATTTTCTCTCTAACCACGAAAAAGAAATCAATTACAGGGCCAGCTTCAGGCAGAAATGCTCTATAAAGGGAATCCCTACTACAGAGGGTGAAACCACACTGACTTTAAAGATGTTCCAAAAACAAGAGACCCAACAACAACCACCAACAGACAGAGAAATAATGCAATCTGACCTCTTACAGGTTTAAATGAGTCTTATTAACTATGATATGGTATCAACCGTGTGATAAACAGCAGTGATCATGCCCCTGAGAGTCATAGGTGTTGGTTGGAATACATCTATACACTCTTTTTTAATGGGCAGATGCAGTAAACCTGCAGATATTGGGCAGATGTGTGCCAGCCCGCACATGTAACGCCCCCCCCCCCCTGCTACGGTAACCACGGACGCCTTCCGGACCCAGTCCAGCAGCTCAGACGGCCTCACTTTCCCGAGCAGCTGCATCAGCTCCGTCTTCCCTTCGGTAGCGTTCATGCCAAGTTTCGGAGCAGTTTTATTTTTCGTAATTAACAGTTTTCATCGTGTTACCCCGCTACTTCCCCCTTCTGGCGGAACAGTCTGCTACAGTCTGTATGCGCCTCAGCTGGGCCCCCTGCTAACATTTTTTAAATGTCCACACGCTTTGGAGACGTTTACAAGGTTTTAGTTTGAGATCGGTCTGCAATATAAACATATTATTGTGTAACAACGTAAAGTCTACTGTGTTGGCACGAAAAATATGTGGCCAGTGCATGCAAAGACATTCCGTGGGAACGCAAAATAAAAAGAAAAATTGCCATTTTACCTGGGGGGCTCTGTAAAAAACGAATATGTTCTATCATATATATATATATCCTTATTCACAAAGTTCTGAATTTGCACTAAACGCTGTGGAAACAGGGTTTTTAATGTGTATCTGACCAGCTTGGTGTGAGACCTTTCTTTATGTGGGCTTTACTTTTGGAACACAGATTCTGATTCTTTTGTAGGGGTCATTTATGCTATTTAAATTTGTCACCCGAATGAGATGATATTGGTTGAATTTGACACACACTCTTAGATTAAAGTGTAATATGAAGTAATATTAATTAATAAAAATTAAAGGACAAAAAGCATTGACTCTTTTTTCATGTACATGAGGAATTTAACACAAAAAACCTAGATATGCGCCATTACAATAAGTAAGTTAGTAAAGAATTGGTGAAAAGAAAGTGTGAGTAAATTTTAGATGGAATTAAGATAGGAACAGATGAATCTTCTTGGAGGTTCTCTTTTTTTCTTTGCATGTACTGTGGACCCCGACACATCCTGTGTCACAAACCACTGAAACTCCCTTTAATACATCAATACTTGTTTCCCTATAATTTATGAAGTCAGGAGGGATCTGAAAACAACATTTCTTTATGCATTTGAGCACTTCTGATTTACACCAGAACGCAAAACCACGTGCGGCCTAATTTTCTCACAGGTGTTTGGTTTTAAAATGTTGCCACAAACCTAATCCAAAGTAAACTGAGGCTGTTAGCCCACAGCCACAAGTGCTCAGTTGGGATGTGAACAGACATCGATTGTGTATGAAATTAAATGTAATGTACTTAAAATGTACAATAGAATGTGCATTTTTACACAAAAGAAGACAAAAGAAGAAACATTTCTGATGACCTAATGAATTAATAGAAATTAACATGAGATCACTTCCCAATTTGGCAAAGTGTTGACAATTATGACGCATTTCCACAAGTGCCTACTTACTCCTAATATCTGGCATCGTTGCGGCCACCTCCACCATGAATATTTTATGGCGCCTTTGAGATAATTACTCAGTTCTTTTGTTAATGGTGACTGCTGTGTTTCTTTTGTGTGTTTTCTCAATTTATATTTCTGCTGTTCAAAATGTATTGTATTGCTTTTTTTGGCCACATGGCAAAGGAAAAAGAAAGCAAAGAATGTAACCATTTTATCATTGGGATCTGACGATGTACATTTTATTTATTGTATTCACAGTCTGCACCACACCAAATGAATAAGTCTATATAGAGATATAGACAAGATTTAATCTCACGTAATACAAAGAGCAACCTTGTGACACATAACCATAAGAAACAAATTAAGCCCAAACACATTGTTTAAATAGTTACTTGGATCATACAAATCACGTTTATGAATACTTAAGATGATAAACAGACTAAACTCCACCCACTCTGCATCCCCTCTATTCACCGTAGGGATATTTGATGAGTGCAGCCTGCCCAGGGCCAAGCCGCAGGTTTGCCAGGTCCACTCTGCTGCCGGGCAGGACACTGCTGTTGGTGCTGAAAACAAGTGTAGCGTGTGGTGGCACTGCCGCACCGCTCAGCAACACAGCTGCCTCCTCTGCCGCCCAATTGAAGGCGGCCAGGTAACGATCACTCTGATCCCACACCCGCAGGTATGCCATTGAGGAGGAGGAGTTAGAGAGTAGAGTGAAGTCACCAAACAACAGGGACCACTCTTTCCCACGCAGCTCACTCACGCTGCGGAAGAAATTGCGGCACGACTGACGCTCAGCCAGCTCCTCCTGCAAAAACATAGAAGAGATTTACATTAATTGTATGAATATTAATATGACAATTTCTAAAATGACTATTGCTGCTTGTCAAAGAAAGAAAATCCTGTGCAAAGAGAGTGGTATGGTCAATGCACAGGGGAACAGCTTCCATTGTTCAGCTCATTTAGTGAAGCTGTGGAGGCTTAACGTTGCTCATCATGGGGTCACGCCTGGGGTTTTTGGTTCTATTTTTTTCTCATGTCTTGGTCTCTCGTGTCTTGTGTCAGTAGTCTTGGTTTGTTCATGGTCTTGTCATTTCCTGTTTTATTTTGAAATTGTAACTCCCTTCCTTTTGTGCCAACAGTCTGTCTTCCCTAACTCATGACTGAGTCGTCCTGTTCCTCGTTTCCCTTCACGTGTATTTATAGTTTGCCTCTGTCCTTGTCTTGTGCCAGAGTGCTTTGCATGTCAGATCATTTCGAGCATCTCATGGTACTTGTCTTGATTTAGTTTCATATTCTCAGTGTCAACTTTCATAGCCCTTTGGTTTTCCTCCCCTAGAGTGATTTTTTGTAGTAATCTGTTTAATAGGTTAGTTTGTTTGTCCCTCTGTGTTCTTAGAGTGATTGCTGTTTTTCCTACTGTTTCATAGTTTAGAGTTCCTCCTGTTAGTGGTAGTGATGGGCAGATGAGGCTTTTCGTATTATTTAATTAGCATCCATCCATAAAAATGTGCTTATCACATAATTGGATATAACTGCTGTCTATCTCTATGAAGCATGTGCAGGATTTGCAAAAACAATGGTCTTTGGGTTCGAATCCCACCACTGCCATAGTTATTTTCACCAAATTTCCCTTTGTGTATGAAGAAAGCTTTCTATCTATCATCATCTATCTTCCTGATTGCATTTGTCTTGCCTCTGTCAGCATCACCATTAGAAACAGTGTGTTTATAATGGCCTTTACCATCAAGCAGAAGTGTGAACTGTCCAATGGCCACCATGTGTTCATCCTCACATTTTCCAATAGTCAGCTTTTCCTTCTGAAACCTGGTGGATGTTGTCTACAAAATGTTGCTATTACAAGCAGTGACTTAAAATGCTCTGTGCAGATATGCTGCAAGTCACAGTTATCACCTGTAGCCAGTTGCATTTGATCACCTGGCAATAAAATTCAAATAAATTGAAATAAAAATGTTGTGCAGCAAAAAGTCATTCAAAATGTGGAGGATCACTAAACTATGAAACAATAATCACTCCTTTCATGAGGCAAGACAGTTTTGCCTTCGTTATGTAGCTTTGTTTGAGAAAGTACCACCTTCCTTGCTGTCCTCCTTAGTGTTGCTCCCACTATTCTCTGGTTCAGCTTCCTGCATGGTAGATGATGTAGATACAACAGATGTACCTCATTGTCCTTGGTCGAGCCTCTGATTAGCTCTCACCATCCAACAGCTAGCTTTGGCTAAAATGTTTCAGTGGACTGCTTTGAAAGTGAATCATGTTGAGACTAGAGATCCCCTTTCACAAACTGCAGTGCTATAAGGAGGTGTAAGAGACAGATTAAGCACCTTGTTAATGTTGGAGTAAGCTTCTGGGATCTAATAGGAGTCAGTCACTGAGTAGGCTCCCAAGTGTTTTCCAGACGGCAATAAACGTGTCCATTCTTTCACAGTGGTATCTTTGTCAATCATATTTCTTGAAAATACTGTAAACTGTTGTATATCCAAAGTCCATAGGGTTTTGACATGTTATAGGGTAGTGTGGCCGAGCGGTCCAAGGTGCTGGATTTAGGCTCCAGTCTCTTCTGAGGTGTGGGTTTGAATCCCACCCCTGCCATAGCTATTTTCCCCAAAGTTCCCTTTGTGTTTGAAGAAAGCTTTCTATCTATCATAATCTAACTTCCTGATTGCATTTGTCTTGCCTCTGTCAGCATCACCATTAGAAACAGTGTGCTTATAATGGCCTTTACCATCAAGCAGAAGTGTGAACTGTCCATGTGTTCATCCTTACATTTTCCAGTAGTCAGCTTTTCCTTCTGAAACCTGGTGGATGTTGTCTAAAAGCAAAAACTCATTCCAAAATGTGGAGGATCACTAAACTATTAAACAATTAATTAAATGATAATCACTCCTTTCATGAGGCAAGACAGTTTTGCCTTCGTTATGTAGCTTTGTTTGAGAAAGTACCACCTTCCTTGCTCTCCTCCTTAGTGTTGCTCCCACTATTCTCTGCTTCAGCTTCCTGAATGGTAGATGATGTAGATACAACAGATGTACCTCATTGTCCTTGGTTGAGCCTCTGATTAGCTCTCACCATCCAACAGCTGGCTTTGGCTAAAATGTTTCAGTGGACTGCTTTGAAAGTGAATCATGTTGAGACTAGAGATCCCCTTTCACTGCACTGCTATAAGGAGGCGTAAGAGACAGATTAAGCACCTTGTTAATGTTTGGAGTAAGCTTCTGGGATAATGTATTTACTAATTGGAGTCAGTCACTGAGTAGGCTCCCAAGTTTTTTCCAGACGGCAATAAACGTGTTCTTTCTGTCACAGTGGTATCCTAGGGTCTGCGAAACACGCAAACCCCTCCAACACAATAAGTGTGATAAGGATAGGCTAAGGAGGGATGATAAAATATAGTCTTATTTTGTCTGAAAAAGGTCCTTCTTGAACACAAATTTTAAAATTCATTATTTCATTACCATGTTGACGATGATAATTACCTGTAGTGTTTCATTTAGTTCCTCATCCCACTGCATCTTTGGAAACTTTGTGCCCTTTGGAGAGGTAAAAAGAAATCAGTTTCAGTGTAAGTCATCACATTTTGTTGGAACTATAGTTCAATAATTAGATTCATTTTCACAGGTTCCATGTCTCACCTTGTCCATAAGGCCAATCTCATCACCGTAACTGAAGATGGGTGTTCCAGGTAGAGTCATCAGCAGCAACTGGTACAGTTTGACATTAGCTTGGCCCACCAGTGAGGCTATGTGACCTCCTCCCTGACCCCCTAGACTCCATGCTAACTTGGTCTGACTGTGGGAATAATACAAATCCTGAATGACCTGCGCCCGCCCTGTGGCATCAGTGGCACCAGAGGAGAGGACCCTGGAGATCAGTAGGTCAACTCCAGTTGAGGAGAGGAGGGCCGACACATTTTCAGCAGAGGAGCTCTCCGTGACACCAATTAGGACTCTGGAAAAAAAAGATTTACAAGGTGTTTATTCGGTTTATATTAAATAACAGATGAACATTCCCATGTCTACCTTTTGAGGTGTTTTCAAAGTCTTACTAACAGACTGTTTTATATGGACGTTGTAACACTATGGAGGTGGAAGAAAATGCATTTACATTCTCTATGAATTCTACAAATAAACAGACCCTCTTCTACCAGTGGTTCTCAAACTGTGGATGTTTATCAAGTTAGTTGCCACAAAGACAGACAGGTTACCAGTCCATCACAAGGCCACAAATATACAAACAACCACACACACTCACATCCTCTCCGAGGGGAGAGATGTCGTGGGATGCAGGGGGGAAGCCAGAGTTTATACAGACCTCAAAACAAACTATAATATATAATAATAATATAAAATAATATAAAAACTGCAGGCAAGCTGCTAGTAGAGAATGATACAGCAGGTAGGTTGATTTAATGAGTTGAAATGCAACACTGCATTCACTTTTATTTGAATACACCACCTAAGGATCTCTTGATTCAATCACTATGGATTTAAACTCATCTTACAGATACTCTCTCTCACAGTAACATGATCAGGATTATACCACATCTGGTTTTCAAAAATTATTGGTCCTTTTTACAGCAGGGCCCAGCTCCACTACAAATAGTGCATTCGCTTTATTTGGGCAAATGAATATTAACTCACAAATTAAAAAAAAAAAAAAAAAATCACTCACTCTATGGAGGTCCCCGCCTATTTAAAAAAAAAATCAACAACAATAAATTTGCGGTTTCATAATTTCTCTGATCATGGTAAATGCCTACACTTAAACCAACACTGGTCCAATTGTGACCTTCATTGTTGTGTCTACTTGTGTCACATAAATATGACATGATGGAATTCTGTTGTAATGGAAAGCCACCTAAACCAGGCTGACACAAATTGAGTAAAGGCAAGTTAAAGCGTTGAAGTCCAGTATATACCCCATCCAGCTGTCTTGGTGAAACAAAATATTGCTCTTTCTATATTCAACAAATATGAATTCCATTTTCTTACTTGTTGTTGGGATACTTGTCAGTTCCATTCTGAACAATGGCTCGGATGTCAGTCCACAGAGATGGAACTTCGCTGGCCACATACTCCACTCCCAATAGCTGGATACCATCAACTCCTTCATTCAGCCAGAACACCAGGGCAGACTGGAAACACAAAGAGGCCCTTTATTTAAGGCTTTATTTTCTTCCGATCACCGAAGCAGCTGTTTCAGTTATCGATGACTTGCAAACCGGTTGACGGTATCCTGAACAATTTATTGGGAAATTCCTATAAACTTAAATATGACTCCTTTATGGATTCTTTCTTTGCTGTGCATCTAAATTCCATTAAATATAAATCAAGTAATACTTCCATGAAGCTCACTGGCAGAAATTGGAAAGATCTATGCTGTCAATTCAATTTTCTAAAAGAATGTCTTGTTGACTCTAAATATTCTTGTCGGTTATCAAAGACTGCGGGCAAAACACAGAAGCAATTACAAGTTCATGCCAGGTGGAACAAAGATGAAGCAGTAACCTGAAGGTTTAATAACTCAAACCCCCTCCCGCCCTCTATGGTGATCTGTCCAAAGGTTACTCCAGTCCAGTCCCACCACAATCTTAGGAAGGAACACCATAAAAAGTTGTGGATGGATGAAACTCTCCTGCTGGGGGCAGACATTCCCAATTTGGAGGGGGCTTTCCACCTCTTTCCAGATGAGAGCCATGGCCTCAGCTTTCGAAGAGTTGAGTTGTTATCTAAGCTGCTTAACACCCACTGCCAACTGGTCCAGTGCACACTGATGGAAATCAATTTTAGCTGGTTGTAATAACAATGTTGTTCTTTGGTTTTTCTATCAGAAAAACTTGAAAAGTCAACAAAACCACATCATTGATAAAATGAAGAGATGTGACTCTGTGGTTGCCAAACCAGACACCCTTTTTTCCAGGTCTGTGTCTCCAGGTCCAATAATAATCAGTGACCAGTGGCAGCCCTGGTGGAGTTCAGCATGCACCAGAAACAGTCCTAAAAGTGACACCCCTACTCCCTCAGCACCCCACACAGAATCCCCCAGGGGGCACGTCTTTTAGTCTCTGACAAGCTAGATCTGCAGATATGTATCTTGATGGGCATTATTCATTAAATCAACCACTAGAATAAGAAATCCTAGTTATCAAAACAGTCTTACATGTTTGTTGGGACATAGTCTGTACCTTCAGTCTCTCAGCTACATTTGTTACACTGCTGCTTGAGAACCAGGGTCCAGATGTACCCTGGTAGTTTGGAGTCAAATCCAAGACCACAGAAATACCTATACAGGCGAGAAGAAAAGAATGACCAGGTTCATGTTTCATTTGGAACTGTCAGTATATTAGAAGTTTCTTCTTTCTTCTTCTCAAATACATGTTTCAGACAGCAAGATTGAATTCAGTATCAGATGTTAAACAGTCATTAATAGATACATTTCTTGAGGTTTTTTTTTACATTCATTGTGTTATAAGGGATATATTAGAGCCTGATGCAACAATGATAAAAATAAAGTTACTGTTATGATTTCAGTTGTCTGCTCACTCTCTCTCACCTGCTGGTTACTCATTGTCCTCTCCTTTATTGTTCCGTGTTTAAACTCCTAATCTTCACCTGCTCAGGGTGAGATTGTCCGCTTTTTCACATCCTTCAAGCAATACTCCATGAGCCAAGTGGTTCCTGTTTTCTTACACTGCTTGTCTCTGACCAGTGAGTAAAGTTTTTGGTATTCTGGAAAACCTTTGCCTGAAGGACTTCTTGTGAGTTGTTTGGATGTGGATGTAAGACTCTTTACTATCTTAGAACATCCCCAAGGCCCCACTTGAACACCTTATCTTCCCATCGTCAAACATTTTTTGAAACTCAGTCCTAGTTTTGGCTGCATATTGGATTATGGCTAAAACACGACAGTTACAGACTGCCTCTGTGATCCAAGCATTCCTTAGAGAAACCTTTTGTTTATTTAGAAAAAAAAAGACCCAGACAAATTTCCCTGAGTCTGTCCTTACCTTTCTTGTGAGCTGTCTGAATCAAACTTTTGAACTGATCTAAGTTTCCAGCGTCAGGTGAAACTTCCTCGAACCTCAGCCTCATGTCTTCATCAGGTGGAGCAACGTGAATTGGTCCAACCACCAAACCTTTGACTTTCAGCTTAGACAAACTATTGATCTTCTGTTCCACACCTGACAAAGGGGAAGACAGACAAAACCGACTTTTATTATAACATTGACATGATTTCAGTGAGTGAGTTAGTTTGTCTCTTTTTTTCTTTTTGAAGTCTAGAAACTGTTTTATAAAGATTTTTATGTGCAGTGTTAGTTTTTCATTTTTAAAAATGTTTTCAGACATGGCTAATATTTTAATTGATATGTTTTTTAAATATATCAATATAATTTTAGGCCAGGTGCCCTCCCTGACACAACCCCACACATTTGCCTGGGTTTGGGACTGAGCACAACCAGGACACAGACCACCATGCCCCATTTGAAGTTGAATTGCTGGCAACTGGGGTTCAATGCATTGTACAAAGACTCCTCAACATGTGACCTTAGATTTAACCACTGACATGCCCTTTGATAGGCAACTGCTCCTGAGCCAAAGCTGACCCCAAAATGTGTTTGGTAACGTTTTCATTTCTTTGTTTAAAAAAGTCTGTGAATACCCTGCAACAATGGTTTTTTATGAGTAAAAAATCATCTTAAACTTTCTAAAGCATTAAACATGCCTGCAGGTGAGCCATACTGAAAGATGGACTAGGACCCTGAATTGGACCGTGGGTATTGAATATTGAAGAACCAATGAAATTGGATGATATTAACACCCTTGAACCCATAAGAGGCAGGGACATGCCTGCCGGGACAACTGTTACAGTTCTCTGCTCAGTTTTAAGAATATCCAGGCAGTCTAAGCCTACAGAATGAGAAAGAAAGGAGGAGGATTACAGAGCTGGTTTAAAACAGATGCAAGAATCCTGGAAATGTCACTCAGTCCAAACGCTGAATTGTTTCCATGTTGTTACTGAGAGAGTCCACCGGTGTTACCTGCTGATGCTGTGTGTGATGTCATCAGCTAAAAGCAAACCCCAAATTAATTGATAGACTTCTGGGGGTTTCTGGCATACCTTTTTCTGCTACAGTGTGTCAATTTATTTATGATTTAATCTTTTAGCTATCTACACAAGGACATAATTTAGACTGCAGAAATGCAAATACCTTTCAGGGATTAATAAAGAAGGATTCAATTAAACTGAATCAAATCGTCTGTGTGTCTGACTTTCTCCCTGATGCACACAAAAACTCTTAAGGGTGTACACCAGATAATGGATTGACACACAGATGGAAGCATGGAGACACCATGAACTCACCCTTGAGGTTTTGCATGTCACTGAAGGCGTGGATGTTTCCAATCCGGTACAGCGGGCCGTCGTTCCACCAGTTGGTGGTCGGAAGTTCTCTGCAGCCAGGAGCCTGAAGGATGATGATGACGGCCCCCACCAGCATCCCCAACCAGCCGAGCCAGAACACCAACAGCAGACCCCAGCGTGCTCTTACCCACCTGAGAAATAAGAAAAACTATGCTAGATTGACAACATTGTAGGACCCTCAGACATTCCAGTCCCAAGGACCCCAGGCTCACAACTCACAATTTATTCCATTGAAGAAGTTTAACTAAAAAAATATGTTTTCACGAAGTCAGAATTTTCAACATAAATAGATCTAAAGCTGTTAGTGTCACAAAGCAATTGGAGAAAAAGCTAAGTTGCCAGAATGTGTTCTCTGACCATAATTAGCATCAGAGAAAAATCATCTTTTCTTCTTACTTAGAAGGACCCGGTTGAAAAATACACACACACACACACACACACACACACACACACACACACACACACACACACACACACACACACACACACACACACACACAAAAAGAAAGAAAAAAAAACACGTGTATTAAAGCTGTCTACTAGGGTGGGTGTGGTAACAATATTTGTACCTCTGGTTTATTTGGGCCGATCATCAATTTGTTTTTCGTGGAAATAAAAACTCATAAGAAACTATTTAACTCAAATGATATGTTGAGTTATATAGATGCAGCAATGCTTCACGGCTGCTGACTGGCCGGAGGTTATTCTGCATTCCTAAATCAAGTCTGTTTTGCAAGGAGAAGTATGGAAAACCTTCAAATAGATATATTGATAAGGAATGTTAGAAAATTACAGTAGATTACAGTGGATTTTCCATGTAAATGATCCAGTTGTCCTGTTTGGCTGCGTGTTTCCTTCATGAAATTAGAAATAAAAATGCTCTGTCCTGCGTGCGTGCGCACTGCGTCCTCACCCCGGGCCCCCGGCCACCCGCAGCAGCTCCTCCTTGTTCAGGCCGGTGAATTTGGCATCCCCCGCCTCCTCGATAATCTTCAGTTTAACAGAGCCGTTTTTCTCCGCGGGGGGCTCGTCCATAGCAGAGGACAGAGCCTCCGCAGCCTCAACCCCCCCACCGGTGATGGGCTGCTTCTCCTGCTCCTCCTGGTCCAGATCCGCCTCGCTCACGTCGGCCTCAGTCGCATCAGCATCCGCGGCCACCTTCGCGGGATCCGCCGCTTCCTTCGGTTCAGCATCTTTATCCTCCTGACGAGCATCCGCCACGTCCACGTTCGTCTCCTCCGTATTCATGCCGGTTCCGATCCGTTAAAATGACCCCGATCCAGAAAATAAGGCTCCTGTGCGCAACAGAACAGGCGGACAATCTCCCGGTCTGGGGGGTGTATGTCTTGGAGTGGGAGACCACCGCGCATTGATGATGCCTTCAAATGGTGTCTGGCATTTGAAAACCCTGTCTCACATTGGCAATTTTTAGTCTTTTATTCCCTTTAAAATATCATTAATATCCAGTGAAGATCTTGATGTAAGATTGATTTATTGGGAAAACATTTTTGTAGTTATTCGGCATGATCAAGTGGCCTATTTTAATGCTAAACTACAACAAAATCATATGCACGTCCACAAATCAGACATTCTCCCTGACCATCTCTCAACTGCTTTTCTTTTTCTTATTTTCTATTTAGTACAGATTACTGACGATCAACCTTCACATAAATTGGTTTTAGCATATTCATTGTGGTTGCGGCTTAAAATATCGAACACACACACACATACCTGTTTTTCTACTAAAGGGACGATTTACAAATAGGGTAATACAATCCTGATCCAATATCATCCTGACAATAACCCTAACCCATCACCAATTTTCAACTGTAACCATAAATAATATGTGTGTCCTGACAATTCCCTACAAACATAGGGAGCCCATTATTTATCATCATGTTTGTCATCTCTTTTATTTATCATTTACTTTAAAAAATATAAATAAAAAAAGGGAGAGTGAACATTTATGAAATGTGACAGTTTTGGGCATTGGGCTTATTTACATCTTTTTCACGCACACAAACACGCACACAGACTTACCCACAGAACAAGTTTTAAAACAGAAAATTCATACTATACTATCACAGTATGATTTTCCCTTTGGAGTAACAGCATATATGCTTGTAATGAAATATCTCATGAACCGTTTGAAAGTTATTTGTTCATGGTTTATTAGACTTATTAGACATATTTATATTGAAACTATATTCTGATCAGTTATTTTATTTAATTTCATTCCACTGGTAGAGCATGTATTTCTGAGGGCACCTGAAGGCAGCATCCTTCCAGTTTTCTCTCCACTAAGTGACAGATAGAAATTAAATATGTATATATATAGGTCTTTGACAGAGAGAAAGAGAGAGAGAGAGAGAGAAAGAGAGAGAGAGAGATAGGAACACAAAGTCAGCAGTTTGGAAGAATGCTGACCACTACTTCCTGTGTCTCCTGTGTTCCACAACCCCTGTTTTGTTCAACAGATGCACATTTACATGAGAACATCATACTCTGTTAGACCAAGCAATGGGATTTGGATCATGTTTTAAATATTAACATTTTAATTGCATTTCTAAATGGTCAAGATGTGTTTTAAGTGTACAGCAATGGTTGGACATGAGATGATGGGTTTATGGAAACAATCCCTTTTTTTTTTTTTTTACTAATGTTGACGTGAGTGATACAATTTCAGTTCACTATCTGTTTCACTAGATACTATAGCAAATTGTACTTAAATATGACATGAATAGTCATGATTTTTAGTGACATTATGCCATGTTAGTATCAGTTAGTTAATAATTATTTGGACTCATCAAGTTATAATTCCTGAGAAGCATTAATGGATCCATGTTTTCAAAAATTTTTCAGTTCTCAAACTCAGGAGGGAGAAGCAAATGTTAGGCATACAGAGTTTGTGGGTAACTGTTACACCCTCAGTTGAATGAGGAAGCTAACACATGACAACCACAATAAAATGTCCGAGTCCTGATAAATGTCAAACAGGCTATTTTCTTTTTCTTTATCCCAGAGTTGAACAAACTGTGGGGGAAAAAAGGGGCCATCAGGTTGCGCCAAATCAAATAAATTGAGAAAACAGCAGGGCATAGGTCTAATCTAGTCTAAGCAAAACTGAATGTTGCCATTAATGTTGGCTGAGACTGCACAGTTTAGAATTAAACAGCCCTTACACACACATGCATTAATATACTTTAATTTTTCAAATATGCACTGACTGTATATTATGTATCTGTGCCCTTTATGTGACCACAATACTTTAGAATATTGTAACCACTTAGCCATAGTAGCTATGCTGTTAAAAAGGAAAACATGACCTTCTTTCATGAATTGATTGGTGATCATTATTTTGATGTATTCTGCCTCACAGTGTCAGCAGGAGGATCATGTTAGCGTCAATGAAACTCTTCCCTCTAACTATTTAAATGTTCACACTCCTGGAACCACAGAAGGAGGAATATATATGCCTGTGGGTATCACGTTGTGAAACGGACAGTTGACACACTGCACCCTGAGGCCAAAATATTACCTTATGCAATGTCACTTGTTAGTGAATATATTTTAATACTAGCTTGTAATTTTTATCTTTTTGTTGAGACTTCTTAAGTTGCACATGTATATTATTACCATCCTACAAATGGTTAGTCGGCCAATGTGGTAACTGTGTTTTACTTAGTTAACTTGTTATTCAAGTTCGCTTAATCTATTTTATTTAACGTTACTACTTCCACTTTATATTGTAACTTGCAACTGTTGCACTGCAATTTCCTCCAAGATAAATAAAGGTCCATCCATCCATTATCAATACCGCTTATTCCCTGTTGGGGTCACGGGGGGAACTGGAGCCTATCCCAGTGGTCAACGGGCGAGAGGCAGGGTACACCCTGGACAGTCCGCCAGTCCATCGCAGGGCAACACACAGGACATACAAGGACAAACAACCACTCACACTCGCATTCACTCCTAAGGGCAATTTCCCCAATCTCCAATCAACCTAACATGCAGGTTTTTGGACTGTGGGAGGAAGCCGGAGAACCCGGAGAGAACCCACGCAGACACAGGGAGAACATGCAAACTCCACCCAGAAGGGTCCTGGTTCCCCCGGGATTTGAACCCAGAACCCTCTTGCTGGGAGGCGACAGTGCTAACCACCACACCACCGTGCCGCCTAAATAAAGGTCCTTCAATCTTAAATACATTCACAGTGAACAATCAACCTTGTCCTTGGACAAAGAGTTCAAACTCTGTTGAACCATGGAAATAGTAGGAGCTGTGGAGCTTTCGTAACCTTATTTACCAACATAACTGCTTATCAGCGAGAAGATTCAAGGACTCCTTACAACTTCTATCACTGAGCTATCCGTGATAGAAGTGAGTACAACATTTTTATAGGAATCTTTGGAACATTATTTGGACTTAACAATTTGTGTCCAGTCAATCTCTCTATGAGCTAACCTGTGCTTCTACATCTTCTAGAAGAAGCTATTGCACTTAAGTGCCAGTCTATGCAAATAAGCGCTGCATGTGCTGAGAGTAGTTCATTATTGAGGTGTGTGGTTATAAAAGAATACAAGAATTCCAGTTTGTGGGTAGTAGGAGGGAAGTACTGAAATTGTAGGAGCATGAGGCCCATCCAGTTCTCGACGGATCAATAATAGATTCTAAAGAATCTTAAAAATTATACATAAAATGGAGATATTCTTAAACATTATAAACAGAAGGTGTTGAATTGTTCACAAAGAAACTTAATTCTGCAAGATGAAAAAAATACAAAAACGTTGGATGCAAAGTACTATCATACTGTATTTGGGAACTAATAAAGCAGACATAGTTTTTATACAGGAATTACATTTAAATGAAAGAGAGGCGTTAAAATTCAAAACTGGATGTGTGAAATATGTATTTCATAGCTCATGTTCAAGCTCACGCAATGTACGGTACAAAAGGAAATTATAGATAAAGAATCATGAATGATATTGGTGCAATATTGGTAAGTGTTGATAATATTAACAGGGGGCTTTAATAAAGTACTGCAACTGGTTTTGGATAAAAGTAAGTTTACAGGACCTATACTGACTAGAGATACAGAAGAAATTCATATGTTAATAAGAGATTTGGCATTAATGGATATTTGGAGAATGGTCAATCCACCAAAAGAGAATATACCTTCTTTTCAAACTGACATCAATCATATTCAAGAATTGATCTAACTGATTGTAAAATCTTTTAATCAGATATAAGTTGAAGGTCTAGGTGGAGAATAAATACATCAATATTACAAGATAAAAAGTTTAAAGTAGCATTAGGTGAAGATTATAGGTTTTTTTCTAAACGAATACAGAGTATCTCTCATCAATCTGGGAGGCCTCCAAAGCATACAGTAGGGCAAAAAAGTATTTAGTCAGCCACCAATTGTGCAAGTTCTCCCACTTAAAAAGATGACAGATGCCTGTCATTTTCATCATAAGTCAACCTGAACTATGAGAGACAAAATGAGGAGAAAAAATCGAGAAGATCATATTGTCTGATTTTTTAAGAATTTATTTGCAAATTATGGTGGAAAATAAGTATTTGGTCACCTACAAACAAGCAAGATTTCTGGCTCTCACAGACCTGTAACTTCTTCTTTAAGAGGCTACTCTGTCCTCCACTCATTACCTGTATTAATGGCACCTGTTTTAACTCGTTATCAGTATAAAAAACACATGTCCACAACCTTAAACAGTCACACTCCCAACTCCACTATGGCCAAGACCAAAGAGCTGTCGAAGGACACCAGAAACAAAGTTGTAGACCTGCACCGGGCTGGGAAGACTGAATCTCTAATCAGTAAGCAGTTAGGTGTGAAGAAATCAACAGTGGGAGCAATTATTAGAAAATGGAAGACCTACAAGACCACTGATAATCTCCCTCGATCTGGGGCTCCACGCAAGATCTCACCCCGTGGGGTCAAAATGATCGCAAGAACGGTGAGCAAGAATCCCAGAACCACACGGGGGTAGCTAGTGAATGACCTGCTGAGAGCTGGGACCAAGGTAACAAAGCCTACCATCAGTAACGCACTACGCCGCCAGGGACTCAAATCCTGCAGTGCCAGACGTGTCCCCCTGCTTAAACCAGTCCATCTCCAGGCCCGTCTGAAGTTTGCTAGAGAACATTTGGATGATCCAGAGGAGGATTGGGAGAATGTCCTATGGTCAGATGAAACCAAAATAGAACTTTTTGGTAAAAACGCAACT